CCCCAAGACCACCCTCAGGTTTGATGATTTGCTAAAAGGACTCACAGGACCTTTTTATTTATGTAAAATCTTTATACACATTGCAAAAGGATATAGATTAAAATCAGCAAAGGGAAAAGTAGGGAGTGTGGTCCAGAAAAAGCCAGTAAGACTCCGGGTGTTTTCTTTTTGTGGAGTCCTACAGACAGCACTTAATTCTCCCAACAATGTAACAATGTGACAGTGTGACAGTATGTGCAAAGTGTTGCCAACAAGGATACCGAAGCTTTGGTGTCCAGGGTTTTTATTGGGGTCAGCAGCAGAATATTATTCTGACAATGTAATAGATACAGAAAAAAAAGCTGTGATTTGGGACACATTTTAAGAAACCAGACATAAGAGTATGGGTGTGCCCCTTGATGGGCATAGGTCTAAGCTACATACAAGCAATGAGGAGAGAGGTAATGGGAGGGAAATGCTTGTCCAAGGATAAATACAAAAGGATAACATTTAATAAATGTCAGGGTGACTGAGTCCCAGCAGAACATGAGGCTTAACAAATAATCTAATGAAAATTTCAAAGGCCATTTTTAGCTACATTTAGAATTTGAAGAAACAGGCTTCTAGTTTGGAGAAGAGAGCTGTGGTGCTAAGAGATGATGAAAAGAAAGCTAAGCCCTTCATCTCCTATAATATTCCCATCTTCTGTCTGAATTGGGAAGTACTTGTAGTTTTGAGAGATCTGAAACCAAGAACAAAAGAGATGTCAGAAAATTATAAATGAACAAATGTGCACTTTTTTTTTAATGGGGAAAAAGTAGATTTTGGAAACTATAGAATTTAAGATTGATATAAATCTAAGTTAAAATTCTAGAAAAGACTATTCAGGATAGCTTATGAGCAATTAGAAAACAGACAGTCACCAGGAGCCTATCTGTGTTCACTGTGGCTAAGCCTTGCTAAATGAATCTTACTTCCTTTCTTAACCAGGTTACTAGAAGAGAAAAGTCTGGAGAAATTGGTATACCTTGACTTTGGCCAACGCTTTGCCAGACTCTCAGGATATCCTGTGGGCAAGCCAGAGAAATGAGTTAAATGACATCTCATTAAACAGATTTTCAGATACTTGAATCAGAAGACTTAGACCTATTAGGTGGGCTCTATTGTATAAAGACACAGATGGGACTTGACAGATTTGTAAATATGACACGACAGGTGATTGAGTCAAGATCCATAGAGATTTGGGGGACTTGAGACAGGTCATCTCAACAAGATGATACTTTCAAAGAATAAGGAATCAAAGAATTTTGTTTTTTAAAAAGAACAAATTTTAAATCATCTCTTTAGGGACGTTTGTATGCATGTGCGTGTTGGTTGGAAACAGTTCCTGGGGGAAATGGCTTAGTTGGAGTTTGTCAAGTGAACAAACATTTGATGTTAAACCAAATACATATGGTATTCTTTTATTTATTCAAAAAATATTATGTGGCTGTCGTAAAAGCAAATTCTGCCTTAACTTGCATATAAGAGTATAGAACCCTAATCCGGGATGGCGATGGTGTTGCTAACACTACAGTCATGAAAGAACATTTGGGTAGTCTGCTCAGTTTTTTGTGAGACGCCTTGAGGGAGAGAATTAGCACCTAGAAGAGGCCCCCAGGTCCAAGGTGGCAGGAGGGCTGGAAGCCATGTGGTGAGAGGGAATTAACGATCTGTGAAGGTTGATCATCTTGAAGAAAGAAAGACTAAGGCGAGATGTGGAACTGATCTTTAAATCTGTTAAGAGTTATTATCTGGATGCTTTCACGGACTCCTGTTTTGTTCCTTAGGCAGAAGTTACAGGGTTAATAGCTATGAGTCATAGGAAATTGTGTTTCAGCCAGTCTCTTACAGCGCGTTAGCTCCTTCACCAGACCTTAGGCTGGCAGAGATGGGCAGGACCAGATCACATTCCTACGGAGCCAGCAATCCATAAATTCATGTTCCACGGGGAGAAGTGGATGGGTATACAATGGCTCTTCCAACAGAGAGACTCCTTCGAGAGCCGGATGCCTCTAAAGCACTGAGCTCCTGTCTCTGGAACACAAAAGGAAAGACATTCAGGTTCTGTGTGAGGGTCCGAGGCTGGCCTGATGGTATCTGAACCTCAATGTGGTGTTCTGATAGCCACTGAGGACCAAGACACGTGTTTGCCAAGATAGGCAAAGAGGGTTGTTTGAGGAGAGTCTGAACTGTGTTCAAGGAGGAAAGCAAAAGTTCCAAGGCAGAAAAGTGTCCCTGAGCATCAGATACACAGGAGCCACAGAAGGACAACTCAGGAGTCAACAGGGGGGAGGAGCAGACCTAGTCGGGAAGCACAGTGTGAGACTGGTTGAAGCCAGCGGTCTGGAACGAAGCTTGGCCACGATGTCAGCAGTCAGGGGCTTGTTGGGAGCTCTGTGGGACCAAGTGGGCTTGGGCCGGAGTCGGACAGGACTAGACTAGAGGCTGGACCACCGTCTCTCGGGGGTGTTAGAGATGGGATTTGTGCCAGATACCCTCTATTTTTCTCTCCAGCTCTACACTCCACCCTTCTCCACCTGGCTCTAAGCCCAGGAAGCTGACCTACATAACTTGGATCAGTGGAATCCTTGCCCTCTGCAGCCAGTTAGCTTCTGCAAACAAGAAGCCTCAGTTAGAGATTGGAGAGGGGAGGAGAAGGAGGTTGGGATATTCTTGCCCTCTGCGCGCCTCCCTGCGGGGTCACCTTGGGATTTCTGTGTTCCTAGCCCAACGGTCACAACTCCTCTTAGATGCTTCTGTCTATAGAGCTGTCTCTTCCAGGATCCAGGAGCCCCTCCCTGCCCTCCTCCCTTGAAACCTAGAGCTGGTGACAGTCCCAGAGATACCAGCTCTGGGGTACTACACTATCCTTTGTGGCTCTCCTACAACTTGCCCACACCCTTATGAAAACCATTTATTGAACTCTTCTTGAATCATCCTACTAGGAAAATGTCATCTGTTTCTTGTCATACCTTGGCTGACACAGGATTCTGGATTGAGTGAGAAGATCAAATAGGTTATTTCAAAAAAACCTTATATTTCTGTGGCTCTGGATTTCTTATCACTGACCGTAGATGTTTGTAGACCCAGGAGTAATGAGAATTAAGTTTCTATACCTAGGAATCCACAAAAGTATTTCTATAGTGGATGTGAAATTCACCTAGAGATTTGTGGTTCAGTCTAGCCACAGAAGGTATACAGTGTATCATTTTTGTAAGAATTCATGCTATCAGGATGTATGACAGGATTTTCAGTTGCTTCTACTATGTCTGAAGGGTCAGCTAACATCTTTACTGCTATTCTATAAAAGAGCCAAAGGTAGCTTACGCTAGCCAAGCAGAACATTGGCAAAGTCATAAAAGAGCCATAATTAATCTTAAATATCTTTCATAGACAAGTCACTAAGCCATACTGTGACCCTTTCTAGGAAGATTGAATAGTGGAGGCTCTCCATAATGATGCTATTTCAAGGATGTCCCAGAACCTCAGGAAAAGAAGGAAGTCTACATGACTTCAAACTGTATAATATCTGAGCCTGATGATCAATAGAAAACATCGTCTTCTGGTATGTGAAGGTCATTTCCATTTGACTATGAATAAGAGTTTTGTTGTTGTTGCTTGGATGGACTTTGATATAATCTTACTTCTAAAGAGTCATTATCTTAAAAAAAATTTTTTTTCATCTTTATTCTTGAGACAGAGAGACAGCGTGTGAGCAGGGGAGGAGCAGAGAGAGAGGGAGACACAGAATCCAAAGCAGGCTCCAGACTCTGAGCTGTCAGCACAGAGCCTGATGTGGGGCTCAAACCCACAAACCGTGAGATCATGACCTGAGCTGAAGTCGGACGCTCAACCAACTGAGCCATCCAGGTGCCCCAAGAGTCATCCTTATCTTTTAGAGGTACACAGTTAAAAGCTTATGGATGAGATGGTGTGACCGAACTTTGCCTCACAGTAATACAGAAAGGGGTGGGGGGGGGGGGGATGGATAAAAGAAGATGGTCCATGAGTTAGTTGATAGCTGTTGAAGCTGGGTGATGGAGACATGGAAGTGCTTTATACTATTCCCTCCGCTTTTGTGTAATTTTAAAATAATTGAATATTCACTGCCAAATGAATAGTTAATTCAAAAGTTGTTTCTTGGGGCGCCTGGGTGGCTCAGTCGGTTAAGCATCTGACTTCGGCTCAGGTCATAGATCTCGTGGTCTGTGAGTTCGAGCCCCGCGTCGGGCTCTGTGCTGACAGCTCAGAGCCTGGAGCCTGTTTCAGATTCTGTGTCTCCCTCTCTCTCTCTCTCTGACCCTCCCCCACTCATGCTCTGTCTCTCTCTGTCTCAGAAATAAACGTTAAAAAAAAAAGTTGCTTCTGGACACAGGAACATGCATTTATTATTGCTCGACGCCACTGATGTCATGAAGTTCTGTGTGTAGGTTTCAGAAGTGTAATAGGAAAAACGTATTGAAACAAATGTAAATGAGGAATGCCATTTTTATGAGAGTTTAATGAAACTAGGCTCAATGAAAACTGTTAAGATAACATTCAGAATGTACACTTAGAATATTTTTTTCATGAATTGAAAAGGAAAGCAAACAAAAATACTGCATTCATGTTTTAAAATATATTACATGTGGACTTTGCTTCTAAATAACCTGGGATGAGAGCCGACTGGGTGAGGTTACAGATGAAACAAGTTTGGCCATGAATTCATATTTGTTGAATTGGGGGCGTGGCCACATGGCAGCTTACCATGCGATTCTTTCTGCTTTTATATACGCTTTACATTTTATACAGAATGGGTTTTTTTTTTAGTAAAACATATACTGCACCTCAAAAATGTGACCATTTTACATTGAGGAAGTATTAACTCTTATGATTTAATGAAATGTAACCTTATGCTATTTCTCTTTCTCCTCCTTAGAGTCTCCATTTTCTAATATATTACCATTTGTTCATTTCTCTCCTCTTCCCCCATGCCTTAGTTTTGTCTGTTATATGGAACCAAGCTGGTGTTTCAGGAGCGAGCCTGGTATCTAGAACATAAATATTTGACTCCCACGGCCAGCACGAGGATTAGGAGTCAGGTAAGGGTCCCTGATGTGCAGAAGAAACCCTTTGCACTTCAGCCGTCAGCTCTTTGCTTTCTTAGAAAACAGTCCTGTCAATCTTTTATCAGTTCCCACTCAGGGATTTTTATGCCCCTGGGACTTCACATACATGTTTTCATTGCCTACCATGATCATATTACACTTCAGAAGTTTAAGTGACAAGGAAATGATTCACTGTGCATGAACTTTCTGACATGAGAAGCAGAAGAGGGAATCAAAAGTATTTTCCTTGTCTTGGCAAAAAATAAAAAGGTATTAAGTGATTTTCATTTTTCTGCTCCTTAGCAAAACCCATTAAGTCATTCTTCATATTCAGAAAGAAGACCTGTGGTATTTTTATGTCAGTGATGGTAATGGAAATTCAATGTGATGGCTAAGAGTACCTGAAAATGAAGACAGAGCCGGTGAACCACCACCAAGATGCTGCTCTAAAGGAAAAGAATATAAAACAACATAATCGTGTATAAAACACATTTTCTGACAGCTTCTCTTCCGGGTCCCCCATTAGATGCTATAACATAAGCAGGTGTATATGCTCAGACTTTGCCTTCAAAGGAACTCATCATATTTGAGGACACAAAGCTGACTTTAAAACACAAATAACAGGGCACCTGTGTGACTCACTTGGTTGAGGATCCATCTCTTGATTTTGGCTCAGGTCATGATCCCGGGATCATGAGATCAAGCCCTGCACTGGGCTCAGTGCTGAGGATTGAGACTTCTTGGGATTCTTTCTCTCTCTCTCCCTCTGCCCCTCTCCCCAGCTCATGTTCTCTCTCTAAAATAAAATAAAAAATTAAAAAAAAATTTTTTTTTAGCCACAAATAATGACACAAGGGAGCAGAGGCTTCCCAATGAATAAGTTCAGAGTTCAGAGGACAGAGATCACTTAAGGACTTAGGAGCAAATGTCATTCTTGTTGCTAGACCTTCAAGAGTGGAAAATTCCAACAAACTGGTGGTTCGACTGAGGAGGGGGCCGTGCAGTTTTGAGCCTTCAGACAGGGTTGGTTGAAGTGCGTAAAATCACACAAACAGGAGTACGTAGGGCAGACATGTTGAGAAACGGTGAGCAGACCAGTTTGGCTGATGTCTCAAGTGAAAGCCTGGAGAGGAGCCAGATTGCAGTGGACACCGAAGAACCTTGAAGAATCTTTTTCCCTTTCAGGAGAACAAGAATTCTGAAGAAAAGCATATGTAAAGATGTTTCAGTTCTCTGTCGCTGTGTAACAAACGACCCGAAAACTTAGTGGCTTAGAACAACCAGTAATTACGTGTAGCAATTCCACATCTGAACGGGGCTCAGCTGGATGGTTCTCCTGCTGCCTGAGGTCTATGAAGGCGGCCTCTGCACTCACAGCAGTCACCTCCGCTGGGGTGGCAGGGACCTCTGGGGACTGCTGGGCAACTGTCTCCTTCTGTGTGACCTAATGTGGCCTTCCCCACAGCGTAGTAGTGTCAGGAGGGCTGAATGTTTTACATGATGACTGGGTTCCAAAGAGGAAGTGGGAGATGCCAGTCATCTCAAGGCTAGGCCCACTGCTAACACAGTGTTCCTTCAGCCGCATTCTGTTGGCCCAAGGGACTCACAAGGCCAGCACAGATTTGGGCTAGAGAAGAGACTTCCCCTCTCATTGTGAGGAGCAGTGTGCACATCATGCACATCTAAGGAAGGAAAAATTGATGGCACCTGTCTTTGGATACAAGAAAATGCCCACTTTGGGGAGGAGAAGAATATTTTTAATTTAAGAAAAAAAAAAGCTACATGAAGGAAGATTTTAAATCCATGTGATGAGGTATTTCAGTGATATAAAATAGGTAAATAATACATCAAAAGAATATTGAGTAAAAGAAACCAACTTTCACGTACAACATTGAAGCGCTTTCATATGCTATTGGTCCAACATGCTTTCTACACTTTCCATTTCCTGGAATCTCTGAGCAGCCTGGGAGATAAGCAGGGAACAGACAGACATTTTGGAACAAGCTTTATCTATAGATGTGGGTTGCTAAGACCTATAGGACATCTCCAGGCCTTCTTTTGCAGATCTCAGGGCTACCAGCCATGAGCACTCACCCCTTCTCTGGGCTTTCCCAGTGTTCCCAGAGGGGAGAGGGTAATGTAGCTGGCACCAACGCTTCCCTTCCCACTTCTGCCACACCCCTTTGAAGGGATTTCAAGGTTTCAGAAATATCATCACTAGTTTCTTTTCATTAAAATGTCTGGGACTCTTGGCCAATTGGAGATGCTTAACAGGAGTGGGCTTGTGAAAGGGTGAAAAGGGGGAAAGGGCTGATTAATATTACTGAAACTGATCTAGGTGCTTTACATGATAACTCTTCAAGTTTATTGATTCTTTCTTTCTTTAGGTGCATCTAATGTTCTAATTCATCCCCTAAAGTTTCAATCCTGTTTGTTAGGATTTTTATTTTAAAAAACCTTTTTTGTTTTTTGCTTTATATCACCTATGTCCCTTTTTAGTTTCTTATACCCTAAAGTTATACTCAATTTTGTCTTGATTTCTTTATGCATTGAAGCATAGTTATTTCATAGTTTATCGCAAATGATTCTAATAACTTAAGACTTTACCAGTCTAGTTCTTTTTGTCTATTATTTCTGCTATGTGTGTAGTTATCTTTTAATATGTGTTGGTCATTGTTATTGGAAAATGATTTGTGAGATTTATGTGAAGGCCAAATTGAAGGCACCTTCTTCCCCTTCACAAAGCATCTGAAAGCGCTCTCAGTTTAAGACCCACCATAAACCAAACTCAAGGCTTGAGTTTCCCATAAGACTCGGAGAATTCAAGTAAGAGCAGTAATTGCCTCCCCCTCCCCCAGCGTTATAGCTGTTTGGCATCCAGCTTATTATAGCAAGGGTCTCCTATTAAATTTCTTGCCTAGTACTAGCCCCAGTTTTGACTGTCATCACCCCTACCCCACCCCAGCCACCATGAGGCTGTCAAAGTGAAAATTCAGAATTGCTGGAAATGGCAAATGCCTTCAGGGTAAATGCAATTTTCTTCCTTGTTTATTTCTTTTGGTTCCCTCTTTCCCATAATTTTTGCCATTATTATTTTGTCAGATCATTGTTGGATGATTCCTGTATTTTCTCTAAGAATTTTGGTTGTTTTCAGCAGAATGGTTGGGGGGAAAACCTAGCTCTCTAGCACCAGAAGCAAAGTTCCTACAGTGTTATACCACTTGACCCCACAACTGCTCTTTAAGTCAGTTTCATTATCCTTACACAGGTGAGGAAATGGAAACCCAACATGGAAAAGTAACTTGCCCAAAGTAACACAGCTAGTAAAAAACCGATATCTCCCTGACCCTAAACATTTTCACTTATTTTATTTGGATAAAAATCAGCAGTAGCTAATAACAACAAGGACATTCAGTGTCCAGTTGTTGCTTCTAGTACCACTTTCCAATAAAAGGAAGCAGAGTACCTGAAGAAATGACTGATTCCAAGAATGGGGCAATGCATACAAAAGATAAGCCTGAAGCATCCTTCAGTGCTAGAAGGTAAGAAAGTGCCCCAAATGAAAACTAAAACAAAATACCCCATAATTGTGGGGTATGTCAAGGGGACACTAGAATGAGTTAACTTAGAGTTCCCAGTGGCCAAAGCTGGAACAGTTTGAGCATTGGATTATAACCCCAAGTATAAAATAATTAAATATAAGTCCATAATGATATAAATAAATGATGAAATGGATAAATAACGGGGGTTAAAAAAGACCAGTCTTTCTTACTAATGTATGTAGATTCAGTAAATGAAACCTAATTCACGTCCCTTGAGTGTGGGTTGGACTCCATGGTTTTCTTTTCTTTTCTTTTCTCTTTTCTTTTCTCTTATCTTCCCTTCTCTTCTTCTCTTCCTTTCTTTTCTTTTCCTTTCTTATTTATTTATTTATATATTTATTTATTTATTTATTTATTTAT